GTTAAAATAATCAATACTTTATATCCTTTGCGCGACAGAGGGAAATGGCAAGAATTTGAAAACACTTTGGGGAGCTTGCGGTGTCGATACAAACTCTATCCTGAGATTCAATGTTTGCTCTTGATAGAAGAAATTGTAAAGTTAACATATCAAAAAGATCTGCGAAAAGCGAAAAAAAAGGCAAAAAAGGCAAAAGCCGCTATAAGCAGCAGTGAACTCAGTGAAGCGCAAGATGTTTTGAAAGTACTTGCCTATGTTGCTTCGGCAAGCCTTTTTCGACGCCAGCCCAAGAAGAAACTAAGCAAAGCGTTTAAATGCCTACAGAAAGCAATGGAAAGTGCAGTGAAGCTGGAAGACGTTAATTTAACCATACCCAAGTTTGCTCTAGCTATTCTCAGCCATGAACAAGGGCGCTGCTTTATGGAATTTGCCACAATGAAATCCGAAGAGTGTATCCGAACAGAGGCACAAAAGTTTCTTGGCCTTTCCATCGATAGGTTCAGAGACCTGTCAAGTGAAAATTTGTACTCGGCGAGGCAGTGCTTCGCGCTAATCTATCTTGCTAGATTAGCCCTACCTTCAAGTATGCCAACATCTCACGAAGGTAATCGCCAAATCATTCCCAAGAGGGATTCTGCACGAGCTCGAAGGCTTCTTTGCGAATTTGACAGAAGTACCCAGGTTCTCGATAAAATTCCTACGGCGGCAGAAATAAAAAACGCACTAACAAAATCGGAACTTTGCTTTCTTAAGAGGGACTACCCAGGGGCTAAGAAGTATGGTTTCCAAGCCTTGGATATCGCAAAGGCATCTGGATTTGAGTTAGAAACGGAGCCTGCTCAAGAAAATATGAACCATATTTGTCACTACTCAGGCTACTGTGCTACTCAAACAACATCAGAAAAGCGACAAGATAAAACAACTTCAAGTGACAGCTACACGTGTAGTTCGTCCACAGATTCTGATCAAAGAGGATCATAATTCGTGAGTAGGCTTAAAGGTTGAATTTCAAGATTATTTTTTCATCAAGCCAACTGGCCATTTAACATTGTGTGAAACAACATTCTGTGTGAAACATTTAGTACTGGTGCAATAAAAACTTGTAAGTACGTTTTGTAATATTTGTGATATTGACTGAGGATAGGTGTGCATCAAAGCATTTTTTAAATTTAATATTGCAAAGAGAATTTAAGTGGAGTGCACATAAGACAAAATTTACGAGAAAATTTTTATAAGGCACTGTAATTCAGCTCTACCTGCGAAGTGTTGATTAAACATACAGTATCTATTTACTCTATCTAACGATCTGGTCTGAGGTATTCTACTGTGGCAGAAAATCGGCATAAAAGCTTTGAAACTGCATATTATTTCATTGATACCACAAAATGTTAGCTTGTAAATGAAATCTTTGTCAGAATTTAGTTGCCACCTAAAATAGAAGCAGACTGTGTCATAGCCATTTAGCAGCACTGATGCAGCAAATTTTCAATCAAGTATTGTGCCAGGTCTTCTATTTATTGTTTTGTTTTGATTTTGTATCTAAGAGTTAATTAATACTTTACAAATTACAATAATTAAGAGAGAAAAGTACAGAATAATTGGTATAAAACAATTTCACACGTGGCTACACTAAGCTAATTACAATACCACAAGTACTATCTTTAATTCAAATGATTAAATTAATGATTAATACTTTTACTTGTCAAAAATAATAATAGACAGTCAATACTGCATGTAGCTATTGAAACAATTTTGCAAAGAACTAAAGGTTGTATAATGACGCTAGGAGGTAGAGTTGCAGAATACTTGTCTCAAGTGCAAAACAGAAAACTTTAGTTAAACAATAAAAATAGAACTATATTTAATCTGAAATATTGTAATGGTTATTTTATATTGGTGTTAGGAAAAGGAATGGAAATATTATATTACTTGAAGCCATTTGACGCAAAAATTATAATAAGCAGGTTGATTATTTCTTACTCCTTTTGATTATTTCTTACTCCTTTCCATCTAGGCACAATTTCTCTTACCTTTTTTCTTCTTGTGGTTGTGAATTTGGCATGGAATCAGATGTTCAGTTTCTTTGGTGATTAGAACTTGTTGTAGCATATTTCGCGGTAAGCTATATTGCTAATTATGTCAATCTGCTTGTTAAGAAAGAGAGTAAGTCTCTCTGGTAAAAGTTAACCTTGTACAGGAATTCTTGGAAATTCCTGATTCTTATACTTTTGATTATTTTCAGACTCGTTTTTTTGGAACAAATTCTATGTCAAATTCACAATTAAGGAATAATTCTTAAATTTAAATTCAACACCTTCAACACCTCTTTCTCTAGAGTGCTGAGTGTAAACAGCTTTTGCCTTTTCATTTTCCGCATTGAATTTTGAATTAAATAACATGAGTAAGACCACGTAGCATCTCTGGGGGCGCTACTTATGAACGCCCCTTCTCTGAATTTTCTGTTTATTTTGTTGTTATGTAACAATCTTCTCACGCTATTTTCTCATAAGATATCTTTTCAAGTATAATTCTAATTCTGTCAAAAGGCTCATTATATTTTTTATATTGTCAATCTTGTTTCCGTTCTGGCCGATCTCAACCATAAAAATATGAAATCTGAGGTATAACTCAAGGGTCAACTTTGGGACCATTGTTATTTTTGCTCTATATTAATGACTTACCAAACTGTTCAAGCCAACTATCCTTCGGAATCTTTGCTGATGACACTAATATGTTCTATACAAGTAATAATCTGAGTAACCTAGAGTCTGTCATGAATGAAGAATTTAAGTTAGTTGCTAAGTACTGTGCTACAAACAAATTATCTATAAACTTTTCAAAGACAAATAACATCCTAGTCTCGTCCTCAAGATTAAGTGGAAGTATAGATGTAAATAACATTAAGATCCAAAGCCAAATAAAATACCTGGGTGTCTATATTGATCAACACTTACACTGGGGACCTCAGATTAAAGATACTAACAATAAATTAGCAAAAAATATCGGAATTATTACTAAATTGAGACACTATATAAATCTGCATACTTTGAAACAATTGTATTACTCTTTAATCTATCCCTATTTAACCTATGCTATCACTAGTTGAGGAAGTGCTTGCAAAACTAGACTAAATAAAATCAGAACTAAGCAAAATAAATGCATTGGTTCAAATTTTTTTGCACACAGCAGAAAGAATGCTACGTCTTATTATAATTTATTGGATATCCTAACAATTGACAATATTTTCAAACTAAAAGTAGTACTCTTGGCACATGAAATTATTAACAATCCAACAGGCATCCCAGCATTTTTTTCTGGAATTCTACCTCTGGCTTCGGAGTTCCATAGCCATTACACTAGATTTGTTTCTAACCTTAACTTCCGTAGGCCTCTAATACATAATA